AAAAAAAAAAAAAGCCATTTCCCCACATTTCCAGTACTTGCACCAAGGTAACTAAATACAGCATCAAGCTACAGACAATGGGTGTAAAAGTGTTAATTCCGAACTTCCAGTAAGTGAATTAAAAGCTAAAATTGCATCCAAGAAACAAAAGGCACATCTTCAATTCCAGTGGACAAAATTCCTAAATGTTTACTAAAGCATTTCATCACAAGATCGGGTTAAGTGTTTTGGTATTTTCATACAGTGTTAAATACAGAGAGTTGCAAGACCCACTACAAAAAGGTCAAACCTATGAAAAGCTACAATAACAATTCCCTCAGAGCTCATAATTCTGCTTTCACAGATTTCAAACAATACAAGCTGAGGACTCATGGACCCTCAACTTTACCTCATTCCATTACAATCATCAAAACTAAGTCACCGTTATGAAGGAGCAGGAAGTGAGAATAAATAGTGTTACTACACACACAGAGGCAGGGTGTCGGTGTCAGTCTCAAAAGAGAGGTCAGTTTCAAGGGTAGGATTTTGCACTCTGGCGTCTGGGGACATGTGAGTGACGAGCCACCTTAGATGGTTTGGTAGCCAGCATGGCTCCTCTTCCTGCCAATGAGGTAGGCCAGGAGCACAATGATCACAAGACCTGCTAAAGCTGCTCCAACTATGATTGGGATCAACATGTCATCTTCATCCAACTGACATTCCTCAGCTGAGAGAAAGACATGAAGGCCAAATTACAGCAAGAACAACAACATTTCCCACATCCTGTTTAAGAAAACGGACTTATTAAAAACAGTTTACCTGCTCCAAACTTATCCCCAGTGAGGCCAAAGGGCTGCACTTGCACCTGGAAGATGTTGATGGAAAAATTCTGTGTCACATTCAGAGTTTGCTCCATGCGACACACATAGGAGTTGCCCAGGGTGCCCCGCAGGTAGTCCAGACTGCGGTTATGGGCTGAGAAGGTCTCTACAACAAAAGGACAGAGCGAGGAGTGAATAGTATCTGGAGTTTTTTTTTTTTTATAAACATTAAACTGTTGACAGCAGATGAAGTTAAACGTGGCAATCCAAATTCTATGGTGCAGGTCATCATTTAAGAAAGTGGAAAACCTTTCATAAGGACAAAGTTAAATTAGTACCCATGTGACAGTCTCAGATATATAATCTTTAAAAGGATTTAATGCAAGGTTGCCAAATCAGGTCACACCACATCATACAGGTCTTCCTATTGTTCTATAGGTTTTAAACATGACAATGAGAATATGATCTGACATAAGGGGGAAGCAAGATGTTCCCTTTAAAATTTATGCTCCGATTATCTTTCTCTCTATTGTACAAATTAAAACCATTAGCAATCACTACACAAGGCCGAGTAGGTACACAGGGCATCATCTATTTAGGAGCTAGCGCATGATTAAAATTATGTTCCTTTCACAGGTGTGGTTGGGCCTTCCATTCATTTCCCAGAATACACTACAAAAATGGAAACACTGGAGTAAGACCACAAGACAAGTTGGGCACATGCTTATTTATCTGATATGAAGCAGCCCATATTAATCCGGGGGGGCGGCTATGTGCACTCACCTTTCATGTCTGGCCAAGATGCTGACAGAAACACTTCACTCAGATGGTACTTGTTGGTTGTAGTATTCTGGAAGAAAGACCACCACAAGTCAGTAACACTGAAGTCAAGAAAGTTCACTTCAGGATCCCAATGCCATGTAGTGGTGATTTCAGGAAACAAGATGCAAGTTCAAGACAAGAGGGATAAATGCCAGGTGGTTTTATGCACACAGAACTTAAAACAGCTACAGTGGCTTACCAGGGTGAAGAAAAAGGTGAGGTTTGTTTTCCCTGCATCTGTGAGCTGCAGGGATGCACTGTCTGAGCCACAAGACCCAGAGCTCTTTGTCTCATTGGGTTGTAGGTTCACAATATCCTGCACAGGCTGCAAATAAAACATTCAGCATTTTAAACCTGCAAGTGCATCATTATTTGTAGCTCCCAAAGTAGGCAAACACCAGCTGAGTGTATACAAGTACCTTATTCTGGGACACATAAGTGACATTGAGCTGGAGGCCCATTGATGCCTTTAAACAAACGGTACCATTACTGCTGGCGACCTGGTAGGTTCCTCTTTCAGGTCTGCCAGGATCTTTGTGTGGTGCAGCAGTTGTTGGTGTAGTTGTTGGTGGTGTAGTCGTGGGTGGTGCAACAGCAGCAAATCCCTGGTGCAGGACAGCAGCTGCAAAAAGTGTTCATTTAGTGAGTTCAGTAAAACGGATGCAAAGTTTGAACATTTTGTTTCCATCATTTCATACACTGTAGATCAATACTGAAGACGGCTGTTGTGAAAGTATTCACTCCCTTAAATAGTACACAGCTAGTGATGAGCACTGATGCAGGCAAATATAAGTACTGCCTTGATTGTAGTATACATATACCTTCACAGTACACTGAAGGTTAAAATTTGTTTGTGCCATGGCAAAACCTAAAATATGAAAAGGTTTGAAATGTTACTGCTCTTCACAGTAATAGAATTTATGGCAGACAATTTTTATGCAATTCCAAAAATTATGGAGAACCTCTTTACCCAGCAGATGGCAGTACAGTTTGATATGAACGGTTTGTCAAGCCCCAAGTGCTGTTACCACTTGCAATAAGTCCTGCTTATGCAATATTAGTACAGATGTATCAACACAAATGTACTCAAAGGTAAATATACAAGGAAGAAACGTGGCCATTTTCTGTCCGAGTATCAGGCAAGTAAGCAATTAAAGTTGTCAAATCTATTGGACTAATAGCTGCAGTCCCCAGTCCCAACTACTATTAGACTCGTCAAATTTGGGTTGGATTAAACAAGTTAATTCTTTAAAAACGTTTCAGATTTGTGACACAAACCTATTACTTCAGTTTAACGTTAGGCTGAGACTTCACAAATACATGTGTGAACTCAGCATCACTTACAAACAGCATTTGTACGTTAAAGCAACTAATCCTAACGTTACATGTGTAGGCCCGACAAGCTAACAATAACCTGCACTCCTCTGTCGTCATTATAGTTTAAAAACAGCTATATTGGTTTGTCTTTTGTTTTGTTTTTTTACGTGCAGGTTATCCGTTACCTTTGCAAGTAATAATTTGGCAGATAAACCTAACCAACACTCACCTAACATCAACGGTAACGTTACACCCAGGCACCATGACTGAAAGCTGCCGATCTGCGTCATGTTCCTCTGGTTTCTCTCCGAATGCTGCAGCGCTTGTTAGGATAAAAATCACAGCAACTCAAGACGCAGCTAGCTGGTAAGCTAGTAGATGTTGTGCTAGCTAGGCTAACATCAGCGTCACAGCAACAGCTAGAGATAACATAAAGTCACACGCACGAAGTTGTTGAAATAACAAAATGCCGTTCTTTATAACACACCCTCCGACTACACGTTTTAACTTCTCACACCTGTATACGATAGCTGTGATGTTAATTTGGTACAGCTGTAATAGTTAATCAGTGACGTCAGGGTCATGTGACAGACTGTATAAGAAACACCCAGAAGGTCACGTGGTAAAGAGCAGCCACAACACACAACTTGTTTACTGGATTATGTTCAGAGATAAATGATATTCGAGGCATGCATGTTTTGCACGGTGATGTAAAAAGAAGCCTACTCATATGTTTCACTTCACCAGGATCTTAAAACAATAGACAAGTCTCCATATGAACATTGAAACAGGCCTTGTTTGTTGATTCTGCAACGTGTGGACTGCAAAGAGATGGTTTTCTTATATTCCAAAGTTTATTTTAAGAAACGAATATCTTCAATGGTTGCTGTTTTTTTTAATATTTCACTAAGCTTTAGAACACCCCCAGTTTTTTCCAGAATAGTGTCATGAATCATTTTTATTTATCAGCAAACCTCAGACAAAACACATTAAACAGAAAATTAACTAAATAAAATCATTAAAAAGTTTCACATTTGGAGGTTGTTCCAAACATATGGGACCACTTGCACATTACTTCTGTGGGCTGTGTCTTATATCTCTTCATGTACAGTTTTGAGGTATTTTGCTTGAATATGTCCATTTTAAGCCACTTCACACATCTAGCCCACTACATTTCAGAGGCAGACACTTATTTGGCAGCTATATTTTGTATTTACTTTGCAAATGAAGGTTTTACCTACAAAAATAGAATCATTTGTACATTATGCTAAGATATAGTATAAGATTAAAAAGGAGTATGAACTGAAATGTATTATATCTAAACAATTATTGTTTATCTTGTAGTTTTGTTGCCAAGGGAGATGTCTTGGCGGCTAAACTAATTGCAACTCTCAGGACAAGGATACCCACTTGATTTGGCTATTCAGAGTTAGAAGCTTGGATGTAAGGTCCATAAGGTCAGGCCTCGGTCAGATGTCCCTGAACAATTTTACACACCCGTGTCAAAATGGAGTGTCCTATTTGTGCAACTTTAACCGACCTCACTTATCTTCCTGCTAGTTCAGTAGTTTCCTTAAGTGTCACAGATCAGTGTGATTGTGCAGTGTGAAAAATGTAGCGGTTTCATGTCTGTAAGCCCTTCTTTTACGCAGACCCACAGGCAACCTATCTTGTGACCTTTTGTGCATGTATCTTCTAAACAAGCTGCAACCAGCTACATATGTCACATAACCTTTCTGCAGCCTTCTGATGGACTCTGTTCATGTTGCTCTCTTTAACTGTAACCCAACGGGTAAATTTTGTACATCCTGCTATCAAATATTTAATCTCTCCATGTTTACTTGTGCCTCATTTTTCAACTTTTGTTCACATTTATTCACTGAAATATAGTCAAAACCTTTCAAGTTTGCTCGACCCAAAAATCTGTAAATATTCAGTATTAGATGTTATCAATTTTTTAGGAGCATTCAGGATTATAAACATTTGGTAGCACTTTAGTTTAAGATAATCTACTCTATGCAGCATGTATAAGTAATATACTGTTTGAATGGTTATAAATTTTTTGTAATATTATTATGTGGTTAGAAGCAGATGAACAATGTTTGTAGTATATGTTTTATAATGCCTCCTCTGAAGCATATAAATTGTGTATTGATAATGCAGTTGTAATTATGTAATGCTCACATTAACAGTCTGTTATAAAGCCTGAATTAGCAATACATTTGTCTTATAATTGTCACAGACACAAAAATAACTTCTCTAACAATGACTGAGATTTAAAACTGCTTGTGTTAAGAAGTCGTGAAGAGCCACTTAAATTCTCTTTTATATGGTTCCAATTATATTAAAGCCTAATATGTTATAATATGTCGTGAACCATTTATTAATTATATCACTGAAAGTTAAATAGGTGTATGAGAGAAGGGAGGATCGGAGCTACTAAAATGAGCCTGAGCGCAACACAGGCTGTGAGACTTTGTGGGTGTTGAAGGCTGCATGATACTTTGATGTACACACACAACATCTCAGTCCACCAGCAGGTATTCAGTTCAGCCATTTCCTCTGAGGGTAAAATTAGACTGAGGCAGCTAGAAGCAAACGGGAGAAAGAGAGAGTAAGAGAGAGTCATGGACAAACTGAGGACAGGTGTGTTTATACTGTTTGTGCTCGTGGTCCCTGTTTCTTGTAAAGGTGAGTTAAACAAATTCATGTTTTCCTAAATGATTTTAGTGGCCTGAAGTATATGTAGGCTATACATGAAAAAGGAAAGTCATATCAGCTGGTTGGTACTGAAGAGCAGGATCCTGACTGAACTTCAATACATGTTATTTATGATCTTATACTAAAATCTTTGTTAATAATGCAGGCCTTCTCGGTGGAGTGAGTGCTGCTCTCAGCCCTTTTAAATGACTTTACATCACTTGCTTAGTGAACAGTATTTGTGGATTACAAAACTCTGAAACTAGAGGAGCTATTATTTTTACACATTATCTCCTGGGCAAGGTAGAGCTATTTAAGGTTACAAGGTAAAGCAATTAAAACATGGAGAGCATTTACATTCTCCATTCAGCATTATAAAATAGTTGTCTGTATTTGGAACAAAGTGATTTGGAAAAAGCTTGCTGTCTGTTTATGGTATAAAAATGCCATACACACCCAACTGTCCTGTTATTTTCTTCTACACAGGCTGAAGGTATTTTTTAAGCTGTCTATGTATAAATAAATCTATATGTGACTATATATGTATAAAATAATATACTCCCATTCTTTACTTTGAATAATTTGTCTTTTCAGACATTTTTTGATGTTTCTCAGACCTTATCTTTGATGGCATGGTTAGGGGAAGTTTGTGAAAAACTGTGTTTTCGAAGTGATTAAAGCCACTTCCAAGTCTTTTCATTACTTCAGTCAGATTTATTGTGATGAAGAGACTGCAAGATGCAAAAATAAATGATCTCCCTTCAGACACTATGCTGTGTGTGGAAACACTACAGGTGAATCTCCACTGCTCATTTTCCACAGTGACTTGTGATGCAAGAAGACAAAACAGCAGACTTTCAAAGCAGAAAATGCATTGGATGCACAAAGGTCGATGGCATGAACCTATTATTTTATTACTTATTTTACTTTACTTATTAGCCAGCCTCCTGATAATATCTGGCTTCACAAAAAGAAATGTCCAAATACACTCATTATGTTTATGAGACTGACTTACTCTCAAACATTAACTATTGATTAGGACATATGAGCAGCTGTAGGAGAGTGTTCACTAATGATTCATGGTACAGTGCAAACCTACAGACAAGAAGTTTATGCCTTTGTTTCCCCTCGGAGTAGCTCTAAGGGTGGAAAAATCATCTTATGCTGCACATTTACATGTAGTATCTGGTAAATTAATGTACAGGCTATGATGTATGGCCTACAGGATGAAATATACACAGAAAGTTCTCAGTGTTTTTGTGGTTGCACCATTTCATCAAATAAAATGTGCTGTTTTGTACATAAATTACCCCATTACTCAACCTGACATTGTGGTATTTAGAACTTAAAATAATTTTTGCTGGTTTGAGCAATATTTACCTGCATAGCATGAATATTTAAGTTAGGTAATAGTTTGACATTACTGGAAACACACTTTCTTCAAGAGTTAGATGAGATGATCAATACCACATATCTGTTAAATATGAAGTTGCAGCCATGCAGCAGCTGGTTAGCATGTTAAATCAAAGATGGGAAACAAGCCCGGTTCTACGTGGAGATGATAAAATCCACCTACCGACACCTGTTAAGCTCCAGAATTTACATGCTCTGTCTCATTTGCTTAGTCTGAAACCTGAGGTGCTGGCAGACAAATACCTGCTGTTTCACTGTTTTCAGTCTTTGTGCTACACTAAAATAATCTAGCTTCACATTTAACACACAGGCATGAGAGCTGTATCCATCTTCTAATCTCACTCTAAGAAAACATATATGTGCAGAATTTCCCAAAATGTTGGCATAATCCTTTAACATTTAAACACATGCTGCAGTCAAATATTGTTCAAATCCACAAAATGTATTTTGAATCTACTGTAGATCCTAAGGTTTCCAAAACATAAAACAAAATGTTGGACGGATGAAATGTTTATACAATGATGCACAAGAATTCTAAAATATTTTCATTTGAGGAAATACAGTAGTGCAACCATGATAACATGCATTCATACAGTAGGTTAATCTTTGTGCTAACCAGCTGCTAGTTTCTCACAGACATGAGAGTTGTATCTTATAGGGTTAGACAGGTTTTCCCAAAATGTCAAACTATTCCCTTAAGAATATTTTTATTTATAAAAAGGTTACCAACACATTATTTATACATTTTTTCTTTTTTTTTTTAAACTAAATTAACAATTTAGTTAAATGAGAATTTAAAAAAAAGATATACATAGGTGGGGTTGAAAATTGACATGACCTTTTTGAAATCTAAAAGTAGACCAGAAGAAATGTCACATCCTGGAGCTGCTTTAGAAGATTAAGCTAGGCTGAAGAACATGTTTAACAGTGAATCAACACCACTAGCTCTGCTTTCATAGCATGGCTTCTGTTGTAACCGCACACTGAGATAAATAAGCCTCACTAAAACCTCAGAGCAGCTCATCAGGCTGACAGGAAGACACTTAACATACTCAACTGCAGACATGTAGTTTCTTATTTCCTGTTTAAGGGGTCTTATTCATTTTTCTTATGTGCCCGAGTATATTGCTGTTTTCCATCCCATGTTACTAAACCTGTCTTGAATGTCATGTGACAGAGTTTGTTTCTCGCATTTACAATTTCTTTCTACAGTCAGAAACGAAGCACTGAAATGACTTTAACCAATGAGAAATATTTTGTGAAGTTAGGCCTACATTGCACTACCTGCAGTAATTTTTACAGTGCCTTGCGAAAGTATTCGGCCCCCTTGAACTTTGCGACCTTTTGCCACATTTCAGGCTTCAAACATAAAGATATAAAACTGTAATTTTTTGTGAAGAATCAACAACAAGTGGGACACAATCATGAAGTGGAATGAAATTTATTGGATATTTCAAACTTTTTTAACAAATAAAAAACTGAATAATTGGGCGTGCAAAATTATTCAGCCCCTTTACTTTCAGTGCAGCAAACTCTCTCCAGAAGTTCAGTGAGGATCTCTGAATGATCCAATGTTGACCTAAATGACTAATGATGATAAATAGAATCCACCTGTGTGTAATCAAGTCTCCGTATAAATGCACCTGCACTGTGATAGTCTCAGAGGTCTGTTTAAAGCGCAGAGAGCATCATGAAGAACAAGGAACACACCAGGCAGGTCCGAGATACTGTTGTGGAGAAGTTTAAAGCCGGATTTGGATACAAAAAGATTTCCCAAGCTTTAAACATCCCAAGGAGCACTGTGCAAGCGATAATATTGAAATGGAAGGAGTATCAGACCACTGCAAATCTACCAAGACCTGGCCGTCCCTCTAAACTTTCAGCTCATACAAGGAGAAGACTGATCAGAGATGCAGCCAAGAGGCCCATGATCACTCTGGATGAACTGCAGAGATCTACAGCTGAGGTGGGAGACTCTGTCCATAGGACAACAATCAGTCGTATACTGCACAAATCTGGCCTTTATGGAAGAGTGGCAAGAAGAAAGCCATTTCTTAAAGATATCCATAAAAAGTGTCGTTTAAAGTTTGCCACAAGCCACCTGGGAGACGCACCAAACATGTGGAAGAAGGTGCTCTGGTCAGATGAAACCAAAATCGAACTTTTTGGCAACAATGCAAAACGTTATGTTTGGCGTAAAAGCAACACAGCTCATCACCCTGAACACACCATCCCCATTGTCAAACATGGTGGTGGCAGCATCATGTTTTGGGCCTGCTTTTCTTCAGCAGGGACAGGGAAGATGGTTAAACTTGATGGGAAGATGGATGGAGCCAAATACAGGACCATTCTGGAAGGAAACCTGATGGAGTCTGCAACAGACCTGAGACTGGGACGGAGATTTGTCTTCCAACAAGACAATGATCCAAAACATAAAGCAAAATCTACAATGGAATGGTTCACAAATAAACATATCCAGGTGTTAGAATGGCCAAGTCAAAGTCCAGACCTGAATCCAATCGAGAATCTGTGGAAAGAGCTGAAAACTGCTGTTCACAAACGCTCTCCATCCAACCTCACTGAGCTCGAGCTGTTTTGCAAGGCGGAATGGGCAAAAATTTCAGTCTCTCGATGTGCAAAACTGATAGAGACATACCCCAAGTGACTTACAGCTGTAATCGCAGCAAAAGGTGGCGCTACAACGTATTAACTTAAGGGGGTTGAATAATTTTGCACGCCCAATTTTTCAGTTTTTTTATTTGTTAAAAACGTTTGAAATATCCAATAAATTTCGTTCCACTTCATGATTGTGTCCCACTTGTTGTTGATTCTTCACAAAAAATTACAGTTTTATATCTTTATGTTTGAAGCCTGAAATGTGGCAAAAGGTCGCAAAGTTTAAGGGGGCCGAATACTTTCGCAAGGCACTGTATATAGGCCTACCTTAAATAAACGGCTTGTAGGCTAACACACTAAGCAGATATGAGAATATTTCACTGGCTTATTTTTCAATAATTATAACTCTTGTCTGAATTTATTATTTATTTTGATATCATTTTAGCAGTTTTTTACTATGTTGCCAAGTGCTCACAGCTGCTAAAACATTAATACACACTTATGACTATTTAAAAGTAGGCTACATTATATTATGTTTATATTTTGCTGTTATACAGTGTTGTAGTTTTACCAAATTCAAAATACTATATTATAAGACCTTTCATTACATTAATCTATTATTTATTTTATATATGTTGTGATACACATATTTTTGCGCTGCTGTATATACATTCATGTACAGTATATTATCCACCAGTGCATCATATTTTATAAACTTAACAGATGTCTTGAATGTAAAAGTACAGTAACTTCAAGTGTCAAATAAATACAGTGAAGTCTTTTTATGTGAAGTGTAGTTGTGCGGAACTATAAAGCAGTATAGAATGTAAAGTAAAATACAACTAATTCAATACTGTATTAAAGTACAATACTCTTAAACTGACCAAAACCTTTGTTAATGTGACTAATAACATCTGTGCTTTTATGGTAGGTCAAAATGTCTGCCGAGAAAAAGGCCCACATAATAAAATGAATGATGGCTGAACTCCACTTACACTCATTATTTTTGTACACACAGGTATTAGCACAGGTTTCTGATACAGTATAGTCTGTTAACCACTTAGGCTGTGTTTTGTGCTGCAGTAACACAAATATTCCTGCTAACAATGAATAAAGTCTCATATTTTATTATCTTTTAAAATCTGAGTCAGAACCAACTGGTAATCCCTCAGAAAAAATGATGAATTAACAAGAACACTTATTTATAGTGAAGAAAACTTAGGGACCTACTTGAGTACATGTACCTAGTGAACTCTGGTGTCTCCCTGCAGTTGAATATTTTTCTCCTGTGTTTGTCCATTAGAGGCTTTTTTCACTGAACCAGTCATCTGCTACTTCCTGGATGGGATCCTGGTTGTGTACTGCATTATTGCCACTGCGTTGTACTTCAGAGAAAAGGTGAGTTACAGCACAGAGAAACTAATTCTGGCACTAATTCTTTTCATTATTAATTTATCTGCAGATTAGCTTTTTGATTAATCAATAAATTGTTTTATCAAATGTTACAAAATACTGAAAGCATAGTTTTTTTAAAGCCAAATTGAACATCTTGAAATGTCCAGTCCCAAATGAATCTGAAGATATCGCTTTGGGCCCATGTGTCACTTCTGTCATAGTTTTTGACACTTTGACACTAAATGAATAGTCATTCACAAAATAAGACCTGAAAATATCATATCCTACAATGTGGGCTCTTCATTTTATAAAGCGTTTACTTTTTGTTTCTCCTTTTTGGTGTAGTATTCCCACAGGCCAGCTGCAGTGTTTGTAAGTTTTCATGTTTTTCATCCTCACACAGTCTCCTTGGTGTCTTTTTATTTGACTCGGGTGCTGATAATGACAACTTTTTGGCCTCTTTGTTGATTGATATACACATATGTGTGTGAGGGGGTGGAGTGGGGGGATATGTGCATGCTTGAATATGTCTTTCAAGTTTAGGTCTATTCAATTTTGTGTATTTCTCCTGAATAAACAGGAAGAAAAAAGTGGAATCTACCAGGTAAAAAGTCTCACCACCACCATGTCACCCACACTAGATGATGTTTAATTTTGCTGCCTTACTGTGATTTTTATCATTTCATACTTTCTTCTGTAGGAGCTTCAGAGGCCAAATGATGCTGATCCTTACCAGGTGCTTGAACCAGTAAAAAGAAAGGTAAGGCTTCTGCTAATAACAACATTTAAAGGTGACTGTCTTGCCTGTTCTGGTGCAACAAATAAATAATGTTGTATTTTATCCATAGATAAAGGTTGGCAAGAAAAAGAAATCTACGGTAAGATGACAGGAAGTACTCTTTCATTTAAAGCCATCAAATAATTTTAAGCTGTGGGATGTGGTCACAAAAAAACGGAAATATATGTACCACATTCACTTTATTGTTTATTGTTAAGATTTACTCCGCTGTTTTTACTTTCAACTAGGCTTGGGGAAAAAGTGTGCTCCAGATGAATCAACACTGATTTTTGTCCGTATTAACGGGACACTTTGTACTAAATCACATTCATTTGTATTAAATTTGATTGATATGTCATTTTTATATAGATCTTTTTTATTTTTTTTACATTTTAAAGTAGCTTCTTCTCAAGCGAAACAAACTGATAGCATTATGTAGAAATAAATCCTGACACTGCTCTATAGAGGCCGAGTATTGTTTCAAACTGATAGGATGCTCATGTACGGCAACACCAATGGCAGATGTACAGGGATACAAGGACAAAAATACCATGTATTTGGTTATAATTTCTCAAAATCTCCATCACTAATTCAGCCCCAAAGGGAAAACCTTAAAAGTTAAAATGCACATCTATATGCTCAGATTTCCACCATTTGTCCTTGCAGATATATTAATCAGTAGTGCAATATGATCATTTTTATGAGGAACTGTACAAATATTTTTGCGCTGTACATTACAGGTGAATTTAAATAATTTAAAGGGCTTACTGGCATTTCAAACATCCTGGAAAAAAATGTCTCCTAGCCTATAACAGTAAAAAAAAAATGCATGGAAAAGTGTTCCTACTTGTGATCCAGAATAGTTTAATATTTTGAGACTTTAGACATATTTCTTTTTACTTTGACCATGTCAAACAGATGTCCCTCAGGGCTAAAAGTCTGCAGATTTTCATTACAGTCATGAGAATTGCTAATAATACTACAGTATGACCAATGGGCAGAAACAAACAAAGTCATGGTGAAGATTGGCCACATCAACCAATATCACAATAATTCAATACATTGTAACAAAACAAAACATTGTGGAGAAGCAGATGTGCCATATTGGTTTTGTTCCTTTATTTTAATTGATAAGAACATGAAGAAATTTCCCCACTGGGATCAATAAAGTACCTACCATGCATCATAATCTGGCTGACTTACTACAGTCTGGGAAACACTTATCTGTGGTTGTTGTGAATGGGAATATGCAGACTTTTCTTTCCCTGATGTCATTACCTAGAAAACTGCTGATCTGATCACCTTGTTAAACTTTGTTTAACTTTGTCCCCCACCCCCAGCAGTCAGCCCAACCTGAAGACAAGGATAAAGATCCCTATGAATCTTTGAACCCCAGTCCCCCGCCTCCACCTCTGTCTCCATGCTGAGGTCCTGCATGGTCACTGAAGAGACAGCATTGTTTGATACAGCTGCAATATTTGGCTAATTGACTAATATGTCAATCTAAATGATTATAATTGGCATCTATTATGATAACAAATAGTCCTATATCAATCAAAAATGCTAAACCTGGATCCAGCTTCTCAAATCAGCTATAAGGATTTTCTGCTTTCGTTTTATGTGATAAATATTTTATGGATTATGTTTTGGCATGTTGGTTGGACAGAGCATACAATTTGAAGATATTACTGCCTTTTTCGTTATTTTATATTTTCATTTTATAAACCAAATGAAAACAAACTGATGAAAATAACTCTGCTGTAAGTTCCTAAACTCTTACAGTCAGACAGACCTTAAGCTTTTCATTTTTGCTTTTGAATATCGTACACAATTTATGCAAAGGCAGCCTCTGCTTTGAGCCAAATGCTAACGCGCTAATGCTAACAACCACAAAGTCTAAGGCACTATGCTAGCGTGTTAGCATGATAACCTTTGCTAATTAGGTTACATATTAGCTATTTTACTGTTAACCAGTATATACACTATTTACAACACACTATAATGGAGTTACAATAAGGATAAGTTATAAGGAATATCTTCAAGTATTTATCAGTACACAATATAAAAATTAGGCTATGACTTCTCTGATGAAGACACTAGTCTACTAGTCAAAAGTTTGGAAATTTCTGAGTGTATTTTATTTCAACTGTATTTATAGCAGCCTTGCTGATGGGTTCTAGCCATTAAATACAATAATAAACATTTTCCTGCTTGCAACTATTGTACATTATGGTGCGTTATAAAGCATTTAACAAGTGTGCTATGAATGATCACGCCACCAGTAGTCTTCATGTAAATCCCAAGAACAGACCAAGCACATATCAAAACACTTGGAAAATGGTTTAATGATGTTTACAACAAAAGAGAACTGTACAGTTACAGTAAAAGATTATCTTTATATGTGTATAAAAACAAAAAACAAAAATACAGCAGACAAATGCATCAAAATCTACTATGTATCCTGATTCACATACTTAAAACTCCTACACAATCTTTCATTTCTATGCCACCATGGCTGGAGGCCTCTTTTTTTTTTGTAGTCAGATTAGAGCAGTGTCCCTCAGTGTTATAGTCCATGGTGGAAACAAAAACTCTTTACAGTAGAGTCCTGGAGAGTCTTATCAGACTGTAGAATAAGAAAAGAGGAAATAAAACAGGGACACATTCCTTTAGATGAGCCCAAGCTTCCAACGAGAATAGTAAATGTTTTACAGAATGCAATTCTTGAGATACACAACGTAATATGTACATGGTTGGTGTTTTCTTTTTTTTTCTCATCGTTATCTTATTGAAAGTCGTGGTCACTTGGGCTATGAACTGATAATCACACACGACACACCCAAAAACATACAAAAATACTATATCTTTAACCTACCAAGAGTAAGACAGTTCTGCATTTAGTTCCATGCTGTGACAGAAAGAAGATATTACAACAAACAAACGAGAAACAGACACTTTTTATGTAAGTTTTTCTCAGAAATATACCAAAATATACATCTAAGCTTTGGAATTACTGAGGCTAGGACTAAAGCCAGTGCTGGGTTTGTCTCTTAATACACATGCTGCAGGGTGGAAGAGAGAAAACAGAGAGAGACACAGGACAGAGCGATATCTTTGGTATCTGCATTTGTCAAAAAGTTAAATATTTGGATTTTTGCTTTGGGATAGCGCTTGTGAGGTCCCTACAACCTCATCTGGAGTAAAGCATTAAACAAAGTGTCACTGAAGCCCATCGGCTAGAAGGTCTGAGCCGGAGGGACACAGTCCATGCAGAGTGAAGGACCATGATGCATAGTGTCACAGCTGATCAGAGTCTGCAGGGAAAAGACGATGTCAAAGGAGAGAAAGAGGGGCACAACAGTGAGTTTTAGTGACTGCAGGATGTGTATTCCTGGAGACAACAGGATAATGTCCTGGGACTACAGTGAACAGATGATGAGGAAGAGACAGACTCACTGTGAGGGGCAGGAATAGCATTTTCACCACAGTCCTTGAGAGAGAGAGAGAATTGGGGGGTACCCTACTGTAGCAACAGCGCTCTACACAAACAAACATACAGTCCTGAGCATGTACAGTGTGCACAGGATTAACCCTCAGTGTGTATTAACAAACACCACCCAGCTACCACCAAAATGGTTTGTGTCGTCACAGAGAAGCCCGCTCAGTTCCCGTTCAACCTCCTCCTCCTCCAATCCCCGCCCACAGGCACTGAAACCGCTGCACTGACGAGATGCCAGTGTTTTTCTGGGGCGGATACACATTCGCATGCAGTGAAACACTGACTTTTTATACAGACAAACCAGGCAAGAGCGTGCAGCCGGGATATAATGCTGAACAGTGAGGTGGGGATGGGTGGGAGATGGTGTCATTCATTTACAATCAAGTTAGAAGTCTTTGGTTACTGTTGGTACCACAGGAAAGTGAGAGCGGGCTGCGACAGTGCACAGTCACGTGGGAAGACGCATACATACCTGTACCTGGTCAGAGTGACCCCCCCCAAAAACAAAACAAAAACTAAACAGGATTGTCAAACTTAGTGTTCAAAATATAGAGGGGTGGAAACAAAATAACTTTTGACTGACAAAGAAGTATAAATGTATCTTAAGTTACAACAAATTATGTTAATCTGATGCTGAAGACAAACATCAACATGCAGCATGAGGAAGAAAAACAGCTGACATTCATGAGCACTGGTGTGTATTCTGCCTCCCCCTTGTGGTGGCATTTCCCACAACCCTTCACCAGGCACAGGTATGAACAGGCCTCTCCACTGACAAGTACATGTATCTTCATCTATTTTTTTGTACATTTTTGTGTTTAATTTTTTTGTTTAATATTTTTCTTATTTCTTAAGTAGATTAAAGCAGGTTTCACTCAGCCTTGAGTTAGAAATGAGGTATACAACAGCTTCTTTTGCCTTACTGGTGCTCCACACTTCGTTAAAAACCAGCAAACCAGTGTTGTGGTTACTACAACTTGATGCCTGGCTGATGCATAAGAGCATCTTGAAATCTGGGAATCAACTACTGAAAGCGAAGCATTAAAGCAAAGTCAGCGCCAATAAGATCGTCAGTTGACAGCTAACACAAACTGTAGGTTTACCATTTGAAACCGAAAACTGGCTTGCTTAAAGGCTTTAGCTAACCAGCAGAGAACCCTCCCACCTCTGGACAAAAAAGTACTCTGGTGTCTCACTTTTTTTTTTAAATCACTCTCAAACACCTGCTGGAAGATGGTAAAAATGCACCATAATGGTTTGCAGACTGCCATTCCTATTCTCTCTTTATAAGACACTCACTCTCACACACACACACACATAAACACACAAGCACCTGCTGGAATTATTAGTAAAGCTTTTCTCACAGGTATTTATAACCTGTCTGAGTCACACCTAAAAAACAGGTAGCCACGTAATCATCCCATGCGCCAAAATGCCCAGAGTACACTGTACTGTTTCAGTAAAAACAATGCACCAGGTGAGTTCAAGCTCTCACTCACACAACAACAATGCTACAATGCTCGTCTTCTACGTAACAATAAGGCATAAATGATAATGTTAATCTTCTTTGTCAAACTATGAAAGCCAGTGATCTTGCCCTCTCACACTATACAAAACAATTAAAGGCATAAAGTAATATTTCAAAAGAAAAAATATCAAATGATTGTTAAAGACAGCACAGCAAATCAAGTCCACAATGACTCCAACAAAACAAAACTCTATTAAAAGATTAAGATCAGATGCTTCAGTCTCCTACCAACCACAGGGCCTGTCTGTCAGGAGTGCCTGAACGAGACCCTCCTGTCGAAAAGACCTTGCTAATACACAACTGACACAAGTGTCAGCAACTCACGCTCCGCCAAGGCGCACTCTCAGATTTCTCCTCTTCATTTTTTGGTCTTGACAGTTTTCAAAAAAATTACTCTTTTGCAATAATAAAAAGGAAAATTCGGGGGAGATTTTTTTTTTTTTTTGAGTAAGCATGATAAACACTACATTCAGTCTTGATAACATACTGGTTCAAATATAAAATATGAATATCTTACACGTGTTTATATATATATATTTATATGTATAGAACTAAGAAAAGATCGTTTCTCTAATTCTTAAGTCTTTCCTCAGATAAATATTTCAGTAACATCCTATGGTGCCGTTGGCAACTGGTTCATCTTGCTAGCACGTGTTCAACTCTTTAGAAACTACAAACAGCACTGGAACAGGACTGAGTCCTATAGACCTCCATCGTGGCCTCAAAGACTGGGAAACCAGCAACATGAGCAGCCAGACACGTGCCGAGCTGCAAAAAGAAAGGCTTTTACTTTGGCAAGAAGGATCTCAAAATAATATTTAAACCTAGAAATACCCCATAAATAGTAGTACTAGAAAATAGCAGTAGTAGGTTGTCCTTTTATATATGGTTCCTATGTATGGTTCATCAGTATAAACTTTGAATGGTAAGCCAGACTGTACTTATACATTCTACACTGTTCTATACACAGAAATGTCTAAAGGTGAACCCTATGTTTAAGTGCTGCTGAGGTATATTCAGTCAAAACAATTCAACAACAGAAAAGAAGTACACAAGAGGATAACATGGACAAATTTCACTGCTTACAGTTTCAGCGATTTAATCACTGTGGTATTTCATTTTGTTATTTTGAAGCAGCAGAACAATGCTACTTGTGTGTGGGGTTTAGGTGAACGTGTAGCACATAACAGTACTTAGCCCAACGCTGTGTTGGCTAAGATAGTTTGGCAGGTTTTAAACTAGTTCACAGACAGATTTAGGGAACAGCATATTGTTTTCCAACATGCTGGTTTAAAAATGTTGGTGCTAAGATTAGGTGTAGTCCACTATCTGATGATCAGATCTATGCATTTACATAGGGAGGGTCGAAACCATAAAACCTGATTTTCACAGGATGCAGTCGTAAAGCTATAGGAAAGCATGCAGGCCTCTCAACAGCTCAACTCCACCAGGAGCTTCAGCAGCAGGTTGTTAAAGCTAAGTTTCTGCAATCCTAATCCAGCAGCACCAAATGGGGAATGATCAGGTACTGAACCAGGTGGGAGAAGAGGAAAATATTTTGCTTGAGCAGTGTGGAGAGTAGAGCTCATGAACGGCAACTTGTCTGCTCGGACAGGCACAGCAACTACTGAGGAAAACCACTTTGGTTCAAGCTGTTGTTTTATGGCTGAATAGTAGTATAAAACCAAAAGAACAGAACCTTTCTATTATGCTTCAGAAAAGTCCAGAACTGCTACCAAAATGGCCAAAAAGGATTAAAAAGAAAAACAAGCCATCAAATGACTCAAAGAAAACCAGGATCAGGTGTCTGGGGCAAGGCCCCGGCAATAAACGGTCCATGAATCATAAAAGGAAACTACTTTTTCACACCCCAGCTCACCAGTCCCTCTCTTTTTGGTCAGTTGTGCTGCCAATTATAAGTTGAGCTATGAGACACTTGGTCACAAAAAAAAAAAAAGGTCATCTTTGGAAAATGATCATCAAAATATTGCATTTCTATAATCTGTTGAAGAAGAATGACAAGAGATTTTGCACTCATAAATATATTGACTAGACTAAACTACACCGACTACACACAGCAATTATTTTAACAAATATTTTTGGTATATCTTAAAGTAGGTAAGCCAGTCAATTGACTGCAGCAAGAAAGGACAGATTTTCATTCCTCCCAAAACAGGCAGACTGCAGCTCATCGATCCAGTTTTTTGGTACAGATACTGTGCACAAGTAGATACGACGGTACTCCTATTTAAAACAAACAAAAAAAAAAAACAACACACAACACAATAACTCCATCTACGCCAATGCCACCATACATCTGCTATGATGACCACGCCCCCTGACTAGTCCTCCCCCAAAACTGAGCAGTCAGTCACAGAGCCTTATGCAATTAACTCTCAGCATCTGCCTGAGCTGTAGACAACACACACAGCCTTCTACTCTCTATCTCTGACTCCAAACATAATGTACAGGTTTCCAATGCACCATCCAAAACTAATCACCCTTAGTTGGATACGGGACTGCATGTCTGCAGCTCTTATTAAAGCTCTCAATGTAATGCTTTCAGTCATTTTTAATCAGTGTCAATAATCCGTGCCTGGACTGTCATTTTAGAAAAGCTGGGCGCCTACTTCACCACTGCACCAAACTATCAAACTCAGTGTTCCCAGAAAGACAAGACTCAGAGAGCCACATCAGGTGCCTCCGATCCTTAAAGCAACGACAACCTTTATATCGGTCACTTATTACTTGTTTTTAAAGCCTTAGAACCACGATTAAAAAGTGATAGTTAAATCTTAACTTAATATTAGACTTACAAAGTTCTGGAAATATTAACAAAAACAGTAAAGACAAATGAAAAAAAAATTCTAAAATATAACTCTGATATGATTCATGTCAAGGCTTGTCCAAAAATAAAAACCCCAAAGGAGATACTTAAAGATGGAGTGATGCACAAACCCCCATTAGTGATGATAAATATTGTGAAATTAGTAATAAATCAGTTTAGTTTGAATATTAAAAAAACAAAATCCTACAGTTTTTGGTTTTAAGTATTTCAGAGAAAATTCTGTCCCCTGGACATAGATAAAATGTGTAAAAAAGTCATCCTCAACCTCATCTGAGGTTGTTTTCTTTTTGGTGGCAGCAAAAAGATTAAATAATGATAGATACAATAGTAAGAATGTCGGGTGGTTAGTGAAGTAGAGTCTATATCATATATACATATATATATACACACACACACACACACACAGGTATGTGCCAAAAAAATTAGAATATCGAGGGAAAGTCCATTTATTTCAATAATTTGTTTCAAAAAGTGAAACTTGTATGTTATATTAGTTCACTACACACAAAGTAAAATATTTCAAGCCTTTATTTGTTTCAATTTTGATGATTATGGATTAAAGACAAAAAAAAACCCAAATCGTTTTTCACAAAATTTGAATATTTCATGTGATCATCATCATCATCATCATCATCATCATCATCATCATAATATTAGAACAGATTTTCCCCCCTTTGTAGCTAAGAATTTTCTTCAGGCTGAACTGCAAATGTTTTAACTCTTTTGGAAAGT